TAAAGGGTTAAATATCAAACGTGATTCGCCATCGAATCTCGATTTCCTCCCCCAACAGCTATCATATTTTGTCGAGCTAAAACCTGTCTGCGTGTCTAGAAATTTCGTGGCGCGTTCTTCGATAAATCACTCGTCGATTTTTTCGCCTCGAAAAAAATAAAGAGTCTCTCTCGGTGTCGGAGAGAGAGAGAGAGAGAGAGGCTAACCCGTCCCTGATTTACAAACGAACGCCATATAGGCGGTCCGAGGTGTGGTCTGACTTGCATTAGAGAATGGTTCTCGAAATAGTAACGGAATACACATCCCTGGGAAATATTAGGCAATGGCCACACGGCGATTTTTATCGTGACCGACGTCACCGGCCCCGCCGAGTATAAAGAAATGTCCCACATTTCCCATCGTTCGACGTTGGGCAACCCACAAAAGCTTCCTCCTTCTCGAACCCACGAAATCGTTCGCTGGACTTTGATACACGTGGAACCACGGGCGAGCTTTCTTGTTTTTCTGCTTCTATTCAAGGATATTGTCTTTTTCTTTCTATTCCGCTGACACAAAGTGTACAAATGTTTGTTATTTATTCAGCTTCATCGGTATTCTTTTCTCTTGTCTTTTATATGATTTATTTACTTTATTTTTTAATAGGAAGTGAATGACTGAATTACCGAATTTGTGGACGTTTGAGATTAATAGTTGGATATATTTGTTTAACAAAGCAGCTGTTGAAATTGCTAGTACATTAATTTTTTTTCAAACTTTTATAATAATGATTATTTATTCTGATCGTAATTTAAACAAAATTATTTATGAAGTGCAAACCGTGTAAGAGCCCAGAAAATGGCTGATACGTTTCTAAAAATTTTTAGTAATGATTAAATGAAAGATCAAGTTCTCAAGACGCCAGACATGAGAACGTTCAAAATATTTTCGACTGTTTTATCGAGCTCTATACATGTTTCGGAGCACTCCGCACTTTTTTAGACCACCCTGTACGCAATCGGCCACGACAAAAGTTTGCGGCAGAGTTGCTTGAACCGACGAATTTAGAAATTGCACGTTCGCCAGGAATTTCTTATAGTGTTTGGCAAACAGAATCGATATCGTCGACAGAATCTCCTGCAATTTAGGGGAGTTTACTACTTCATGTTTGCACGCTCTGCTCTCCGTTGCATCCCCACGTCTGTTTTCGCGTATGATGGCGTCGTTCGATTGACGCCACTGTTCGTTCTCTATATCACAAATGTTACAATACCTTGACTGGTACAACGATTTTTAATTAGTTTATTAATCGATGCATTTAATAACTGTTTATATCGGAACAATTGAAGACGAATAAACGTAATCTGATGTATCTTGTCCCATGAAAAACGCGAGTAAAATATTAATATTGGGTTATTATTGGTTTGTACCTAATATTGGGTTGGTAGGAAACGTGAAGGTTACTGTTGTTCCTGCTATAATTGCAAAGTATGTGAAATTTCTCTGACTGTTGTTGTACAGTGATGAATATTAGAGATTGCGAAGTCAAAATGATTCATAGTGAGTAGTAATTTGATCTGCACAAGCTATAGGAAATCATAATACTTACTTTAGACAAGAGCGGTGATCGACTATTTATTCTCCACCAACCTAATACTTAAACAAATGTCACCATTTCAAATATGCATTTCCAACACTATTTTAACAAAACTTTCATTATTTCATGTAACCTCCCCTAACATCCCACTTCACATTATTATAGTGTTCAGAAGACCACCTACACCCTGGATACCCTGTACAATAAATTACATATTGGTGCACCAAGATTTCTCCAGCATCATTTATTTACGTATCAACTTTAATCAGAAATCAACATACCTTTATTTAAACCATAGCCCCCCTTTGGAACGAAGGATTGGTTTCAAAAGCCTCTTAACAAAACCCTTAGCAGACAGTCTTAAGGATATCATTTTTCCCCTGGACACCCTGTATAATAAATCACATATTAATACACTCGTTAGAAATAGCATCCCAAAAGTTCCCATTTCCATTATACCTACACACGTGTCTACATCGAACCGGTATCTATCAACACACTCTTCCCTCAAACAATAGACCCCCTAAGAAAGAACGTTTGACGTCATATCAAAAAACCCTACCATCTGAATCACACTTGAAACCGTACCCTTACTGTAGACCCCTTGGTTAGGTACCTTTATCTTAATGCCTTCATTTATCTTTACACCGCAAACAGAAGTTCCACCGATACACGAACAATCCCACAGATCAGGTCCACCTATCGACCATCTATTCCCCCGGGGACCCTAACAATCACTAAGCATCCAGTCTTCCCCCAGACTACGTAGAGTTCCGTAAGCAGAAGAGCTGATCCGTTCCCAAACGATCCCTGAAACACGATCCTCTAAGTCATATCAAAAGACGCTACCAACTGACAAGGGAACACCGTGAACCCTTACTCAAGGATTTCAATGAAAGTTTGTGGGTTTATAGAGCGATTCAAGGCAAGAATAACGGTATGCTTCATTCGTGCCCAATCGCCCGTTAAGGGTGTGAAAACTAACCTCAAAGTCAAATAGGCACTCCCACTTTTTTGCGTATAACCCTTAAAGTACAAGATATAGAAGAAAATGTTTCAAAGAAAAGTTTAATGGCACAATAAGCGCTATAAACTTTCGTTAACAGAATTTTGAAAAAAGTGTTTTAAAATTTTCTTGTTAAGAAAAAAACTTTCTTCAAAATTTCGGCAATGCATGTTTATAGCGCTTATTGTACCATTAAACTTTTATTTGAAATATTTTATTCTATCTCTTGTACTTTAAGGGTTATACGCAAAAAAGTGGGAGTGCCTATTTGACTTTGAGGTTAGTTTTCACACCCTTAACGAGCGATTGGGCACGAATGAAGCATACCGTTATTCTTGCCTTGAATCACTCTATAAACCCAAAAAGTTGCATTGAAATCCGTGAGTAAGGGTTCGCGGTTGTGAGTCACACTTCAAACCGTACCCTTACTCTAGACCAAGGTATCTTAACGCCTTCATACGTCTTTACACCGCAAACAGAAGTTCCACCGATACACGAACAATCCAACAGATCAGGTCCACCTATCGATCATCTATTCTCTGGGGACCCTAACAATCACCAAGCATCCACCACGCAGTCTTCCCCCGGACTACTTAGAGTTCCGTAACCAGAAGAGCTGATCCGTTCCCAAACGATTCCTGAAACACGATCGTCGAAGTGGGACGCGGTCTTACGAAAACACGCTCTAGCGTCGCTCACAGTACGCCCGAGAAACGTCGCCGCGGCGGTGGTGGCCGCTTCTGCTTTATCGTTATAAACAAATCGTCAAGGCGTGGACTATCGTACTATGAAATACACGCGCGGTGTGTCGCACGTTAGACCGGGGTAGCCTGGCCAGAAAAGTGGCGTCGGTATTTGGCAAAGGACGACAACGTCGTCGACGCCACCTCCGGTTCGTCTGCGGTCCCAGGTACCCTAGACCGCAGCCTCTACCTCTTCCTCGGTCTGGTCCATCCTCTTGTCCCCGTTCCCTTGCTCTGCTTCCCTCCCTCTCTTGCTCTTAAGCATCTGGTTCGTCTTCTTCGTTCCTCTAACCGTGTCTCCTCTCAGTTCCCGTCTCTCGCGCGATCTTCTCTCTTAGCGTAAGAGAGGCTACCCGGTGGAGAGAAGGGGCAAAGACGCTTTTAGACACGGAGCGTCCACGAGCGTCGCGACGCCTTGAGAAGCAGTAGTCGCGTACCTTAGGCAGCTTCCACCTTGCCGGCTCGTCGCGGCCGAAACGTAACGTGATTCTCGTCGGACGCGGCGTATACGAATCCTCTGTTCTCCACCGCCCCCCTTGCGGGGGAACGTGCGTCCTTTTCCGTTTGGAGAACACGTCCTCGGGTGGCTGGATCATCGTTGATCGTTCGATGGTTTAACCGGGGTTGCGCGATCCAAGTGGCTCTCTTTTTATCGGCGAACGTGTGACGGTGGCTGGGCGGATAGGATCTAGTTGGACGAGTTAAATTTGGGTCGAGGCTTTTGGACTCGCCTCTGGAACATCGTGAACTGGCCAGGGCTCGCGTTGATTCCACGTTTTCTTGTGATTTTTTTTATCATCTCTTTGCACGATTGTTGGGGAATAAGTGAGAGAGAGAGAGAGAGAGAGAGAGAGAGAGAGAGAGAGAGAGAGAGAGAGAGAGAGAGAAGGAGAGTCGTGGAATCGTGGAAAGAGGAAACTGTGGTCAGCTGAATTTCGGTCGGATCTCCGAAGTCTAAATTAATCTGGAGCCCGTTGTTGAAGTTGCGAACGCTGGTCTGCTGCTGCTGCTGCTCGCCGGCGTAAAAAGAACGTAAAGTTCCGTTCACCAGGAATAAAAATAAGCGTGATACGGGGAACCGGGGAGTCGGATCAGTTTCTTGCCGGAGGATCACGGTCTGGAAGAAGAGGAGGTGGTGGCGATTCTCGGGGGGAGAACAAGTGGCCACTTCTGCGTCATCTTGGTTCGGGATCTTCGAAACCTTGCTGTCGAATCGTCTGTGACGTTGCGACGTGTCGTTTCGATCGTCTGCAAAACTGGCTACCCTCGAGGCAGGTCTGACTCCTCTATTCATTGATCGTGGATTCTCTAAGACGAAGATTCTTCCGAGGATAACGTCCATTTCGAGACGAACGTTGCGTCGTTCCTCGATCATCCGAATACATTGGCGTGGTTCGATTCTCGATTGCGTGGTTCCATCGGTGCGTAAGCCCAGGATAGTTTGCGAGTGTCGTGCTGGTGGTATCGTCGAGGGGTCCAGGAGGGGTTCATCGAGCAGTGTCCACGTTGTCGCGAGTGCTTCCGTTCGGCCGTGGTGTAGTTCGTTAATGGTATAAGTGTTCCTTCGTAAGTGGACGACTGCGTTGGTCGGTCGGTCGGTCGTCGGTGGTCGTGTCCGCACAGTAAAAACAATTCCGCGAAAGTGGTTCGCGTGGCGAAGAAGGAAAAGGACGCGACGATGGCGGAGCGTCCTGGGGGTAGAAGGCGTTCGCGTCGCGACAGCATGGAGACCGGCGGTTCTATACGCGGCACGCCGCCCTCGTCGAAGGATCGTAGAACGAAACGATCGAGCAAACCGTCCAAGGAGCGATGGCTCCTGACCAGAAAGACTTGGCGATACATGGCAGACGCTGGCAGACGTTTGATCCCCGATGGGACGCACAATAGACAGGAGGATATTCCGAAGATCGAGCAATACTTTCAGGAGGTCTGTCAAAAGGAACCTAGGTTCTTGCTATGGAGGAAGGCTTCCTATCCAGGGACATTGGGCTTTCGATCGCAGAGACGTCGCCGGCAGATCAAGGGTGGTAGCTGTAGAACAAAGGCCAGTTCAGCGGACGAAGCTGACGAAGTTAGGGGCCCGCCTCAGAGTTTCATCCTTCAAACAACTACAGCCGGGAAGTTTGACCTGGCCAAGGCTAAAAGGGAGTGGTTGCTGGCGACCGAAGGCGGCAGTACTCCGTCCAGTCCCGTGGAACGCAGGAAGTTCCAGCAGGAGGACGCGGAGGCTAAGGCGTTGGCTGATATGCTGCAGAAGTACCTGAACATGCAGAGTGATGTCGCTGGTACGACAAAGTCGGCTGGAAGGCCGCAGATACCTGGCCAGGTCGAGGGGAGGGAACCGTTTGACTATAAGAGTTTGATAGACAAGCTTCAGCAACACTTGGATATGATGGTTGCTCAGGCTAGGTTAGAGGATCTGTCGGTTCGGCGATACTCCACGGGGAAAGATAAGGATGAGGATAAAGATAAAGATAAAGATAAGAATAAGGATAAAGATAATGATAAAGATAGGGACAAAGATAAGGACAAAAATAAGGATAAAGATAAGGATAGGGACAGGGGCCCACAACAGATTCCCAAGTCCATGCAACCCTATCAAGGTGATTACGTGCACAAATCCTTGATGGACACAATCAGTCGCTACTACAGCAAATCTGGCACTAGGGACCGCGTGGTCTCGGACATCCTGACCGATCGAAAGCTCTTAGAGAAACTGTACTTCGATCTGAGGTGCACCAGAGGATTCAGAGGTCCTCGTGCCACCGGCGCGTACACATCGCCCTCGAATCGTTGGTGGGCCCATCAACGGACTAGAATCGCCTCCAAGGAAGAGGATTGGCTCTCCAGTCGTAGGGATCCTGTTTCCCAACCGCCTTTGATCGCCGTTCAAGAGCCCAGCACCGATCGTGGCCCCATAGAGGACGGCGTGCAAACTGATCCTGTTCCACGTGATGTGCTTGACGCGATCCTCCTCGAACGCGAGAAAGAGGAGGCGTCCCAAGAGAAACCCGGGCAGAAGTCCAGCGGTCGAAGGCGCAGCAGCGTGGATCACGATGACGTTTCACCGTCCGTCAGCGACACCATCAAGAGGTACCTTCGAATGGCTCGAAAGAAGTCGATGGACGCCGACAAAGTCGATCGGTTCAAACGCGTGAACTACGATCGGAATTTACGGAATATCAAGGCCAAGGGGGAGATCACGAAATTTAGCGACGATGACGGTAACAACAAAGGCTGTCAAACGGACGACAATTGGATGGTAAATTACAGAGAGATGTCCTCGATCGAGAATCCATCGGAGAATCTCTCGGACGCGGACACGACCACATCGCCGCCGAGTAGAAACGCGAGCTCGAGGAGCAGTATCGATGCCGGTTTGGGCTCCGAGGAACCGTTGACCCCTAAGCATCATCATCATCAATCCTTCCTATCCCATCTCCTTCACGGTTCGAACGCGCACAAGGATAAACCGCACTCCGCGCCCGGTTCGCCGGCACTCACCTCGTCTGCGACAAATTCCTCAGGTGGCACAGCGATGCAGAAGAGCAAGTCCTCGAGCAGCGTGGTGCATCACGGTAGCCGTCTGGTCGCGAAGAAGATATGGCGGTCGAGGAGCAAGAGCACATCGAGGGCGTCCAATCAGCCGTCCGTGTGGACGCCTCAAGTAAGTGTATTTGATTGAGATTTTCGTGTGGTTTGATTTTTAATTGTTATTCGTTATACGATACATATGACATTGATATTTAGTTATTTATGTGGGGTAGAAACTTTTTGTGGTGTACTTCGTGGAAAACGTACTACGTACGAACGTGAGGTAGAATTATATACAAAGTACACTGTGATACATAAGTATTGGGCCATTTATTAAGTTCGAAGTAATCGTATACAAAGTGATTAAGGAATTAGTGAAGATCTGAGAAAAATATTTTTTAGGGAATATTAATGTTATATAAATAATAAAAGTGGCCCAAAATATATAATAACAGAAGAAGGTACGGCTATGACTGTCACCCTCAATCGACAATGCTGTTTTCGGTGTAACTTTAACTTCACAATTATTTTCACGCAGCTATACATTAACAAAAAATTACGTTATTATAATTTAGTCGAATATAGACAATTTTCAACCTAGTGCCACATTGAAATTAAAATTGTCACTGTTGTACAAATACTTTCACCTCCCACCGTATAATTTCTATCAAACATTACATTTTTTTTTTAAAGATACCAGGTGTCCTAATACCGATGAATGATTGTGTTTACGACCATAAATCCATCAAGTTCATCTAATCTGTTTATTCCGACTAGATTTATTTCTTGAAATCATTGAAAGTGACCAGTATAATTCACATGCAACTGCCAGTAGACTGTACGAAATTGTCTAATCAGATCGAAAAAGCCACACATGTTTTCGCTATTGGATTCGCACTTCATATCTATAACCGCAATTTTGGAGGAAAACATTTTCTGACATTTGTTTTCATAACATTCTTTTCGCATTTTTATATATAGAATACGCTTCAGAAAAATTAATCTTCGAATCAGGCTTATATTTAGAACACCCGGTATATAAAACATATTTTTCCGTTTCTATTCGGGGCACGAAACTAGCACAAATTTCGATCGTTTCATTCAGATAGATTTCCTGTCATCTATATACAGGCGATGCTTGTGTATTTTCTTTTTTAATAGACGAATTTTATTCGCGGCATTGCAAACGATACAAGAACGAGCCTAGCGCGCTATAGATAGAGTTCCTCCTTGCCAAAACACGTCTACGAATAATTTGCTTAAACCACCTGCCGCCACGTAGCAGGGAGTGTCCGTCTCGTTATAAGAAAGAAAACGAATTAATGATGTCGCTATTAAGGCCCACAACGAAAATAGAATGGCTCTATTAATAACAATACTCGGCCGGCCGTTTTCTTAATAATACTTACGAATTAACCTTCCCACGTTCCCGTTGAGCGGACCATTTCACCGTACAAGAAACGACATCCGGGCTTCGTCTGTTTCCTTGTTTGAGAAGTTCCGTTCGAGAAATTAATCAATCGAGGACATTGAATTGGTTCGTACGAAAAGACAGTGAAATTTCGATAAATTTATTCGACAGCCTCGTTTCGTACACATTGCTCAGAAGAATTAGGGGATCGTTAACCTTCTGTCATCCCCTGGGTCTTTTAATTTAAATTAACTTTTTGGTAACAAGCGAAAATTCACGCTAAAATATCTCCGAAACGAACGGATTGATATTAAAGAAAAAATTGTTACGTTCGACTTTAAAAATTATTGTATTGTGTAGTAGAAACCCTGATAATTATCATTGAATTTTTTTGCTATTTAATTTATTATTATCGTGAAAATTTAAAAAAAAAAAAAAGAGGAACATAAACAGAGACCACGTGGTTGTTTATTGCGCTCTAGCCGAGGATCGTGCTCAAGGTCAACGTTTTTAAATATGTCTCAGCACGATTTCTTTTATTCGTAACAATATGACAGAAAAACAACGATGACCTTGAGATTTTTTTGGAAAATACGACCACGAAGATAGTTCTGCCTGTAAGGAGGCAACGTATCAAGTCGATCGGTTAATTATTCGTTCAGTTATCTTGCAGGTCAGTTCGAAAAACATGATTTCCAGGAAAAATGCGTTAGATTGTAATCTATAACAATAATCGTAGCACGTACATATGCTCAGCTCTAGCAGTAGAAACTCGGACATATTCTACCACGTGCAGTACTGAAGATGTCAGCAGTCAACGGGTTGACACAATGTTGTACACGGTGCTCACTGTCTATACACAATATTCGAGTTAAGTCGGTGACTCAAACGTCATGTGGTCCCCTTGAAAGAACGGAGTGTCGGGACACTTTCCTTCTTCTTCTTCTTTTCCTTATTTTTCTACATCATCTTCTTCTTCTTCTTCTCTTGTTTCTTCGATTTCTGCGGCTCTTCTGGCACTCCAGTAATCATATCGATGACCCGTCAAGATGGTTCGATAGTTGGTCTATCCTTTCTTTCTTAATATCCCCCCTGTGGCCGAGTATTCGTACGGCGTGAAAGAGGCAAAAGAGGAGGAGGCGCGAGAACAAGAAGAAGAGAGGGCCGACCTTGCGGGCCAGGCGATCTCGTTAAGCGGGTAAGCGCGATAACCAATTTAGGGCCTCGGAATTTCGCCGGCGCCGCCAGAAATAGTCAGCGGACGGCGGTGTGTATGAACTATACTTAACCCCTGCTACTACTACGTGCACAAACACACGGTGAACCGGCGCCGTTTCTACTACCGGCCGTGTGCAGTTACGCGGCGGCGTACGGTGGTCGAAGAACAGATACTTGGCCATAATGCCGTTTTTGGAAACTTTTCGATTTGATGTCGGGGATATGTTTTGAATGATAGTTCGTTGGATACCTTAAAAAATGTGGTCCAAGTAACATTTTAGTTGATGTTGAAGTAGGGAATGAGATTGATAACTTTCGAGATTGACTACTTGACTTTTACCGTTGTTTTTGAATATTCAGTATTGAGATTTTTGAGATCGTCAGACGTTGGTTGGGTAGTTTAAAAGTTTAATCTATATGACATTTTATGAACTTTTGTGTTTGAATAACAACCCTTGATGGGAATCTTGAGAATTTTATGTAGGTACCATTTTCGGTAGATTTGAGATTCTAGAGTAGGGTAGAGGGCGAAGTAGTTAATGAGAAGTCTTAAAACATTGGTCCAAGTACTATTTTAGTTGGCGATGAAGTAGGAAATGAAAATGATGGTTAATACTTGAAGTTTACCATTTTTTAAATGTTCAGTATTGAGATATTTGAGATCGACAGATGTTGGTTGGGTAGTTTAAAAATTTAATCTATGTCACATTTTATGAAATCTTCTGTTGGAAACACATTTCTACGGGAATCTTGAAAATCTGATACAAAGTACCATTTTAGGAACTAAAAAATCTAGAATAGAGGAATCTTAAAAATTGTATTCTGTGATGAAAGCAGTGGTTTTCAGCGACTGTCAAGTTTGACATTTGACTTTTACAATTTATCTAAACGTTCAGAATGAAATCTTCGAGATCGTCACACGATTGAATCGTCTATAAATCTGATTAATTCAATGTTTTGTAGACCTGTATAAATAATGTTATATACATGTTTGAAAACGAACGTCGATACCAATATTAGAAGTCTGATCCAGGTACCATTTTGAAAATTTGAAATTCTGAGTAGGATAGAAGATTAATTGTAAGGAGACAATGAGAGTAAAAAATCCGATCCACGTGCCATTTTATGGACTTCTATATCCGATGTTGAGATTGTCCATAAAGAGCGAACGTCGACAGACACGTAAACAAATGCTACAATTAAAAGAATGCAGAGGTTTTCATTAGGGATCGGTGATCCTTTGATCCGTGCTACTTTCTTGACAGTTTGTTGCCTCATGGCGAGAAGAGCGAACACAAAAATATACGGCGAGACGAAGAACTGTAACTTCCTTCTATTAGAAATAAACCAATCCGACGTTTGCGATTCATTACTCCGCTGCACACGTTTCTGAACGTTGAAGGGATTCGACGTCGATTTGTGAACAACATTTGTGAAGAATTTTGGAATACGTTTATTACAAATGAAATTTCCTTAATACAACAATTATTTTGCACTATTGCAAAATTGTACCTATCGTGACTAATTCATAAGCTTGTAGAAATAATAATTTTGAGTTCCTTGGTTACATAGTTACATCTATCGTGTAGAATAGATGTCACTCTTCAGAAATTGCAAAAATATATATATATATATAGTTGTCTTCGGTCTAAGCGTAAGCATTTAGCGATTTTTCAAACTTTATTTTCCCCATATAGCTTATTTCACATCAAATATCTACCGCTTTAAATTTAATTCTTTTTAATAATTCGCTTTAAATTTAATTCTTCGTTTCAACTAATATGCAATAAAATTCAGTTATTATATTTTGAATATGGTTCAAGTCCACCGTTGCTTGTTTATTTACTTACAATTCAACTGTAACCGTACCAGCCATATTGTCGATTCTCTTGAAACTGAATTTACGCTACTTTCAAAACAAACGTCTCAACAAGTATTTCCGTTGTTCCATCGTTTACAATTGTTGGAGGGATGTTCTTTCTAATCCGCTTACCGTATCTGGCATTTTATCTTCGGATTACAGTAATCACGCGACTGAAATATTGCGAGTATTATTTTCAAGATCGCTGTCCGCGTACGTTTCTCTGTCCCTCCAATTGCAACTGCAGTGCATGATCAAATTATTAGAGCCACAGTACAAAAAACATACTTTTTTGGGATGTTTGCGTAGAAATAAAATCACAATATTGCGGGAGTAAAATGTGTGAAATATATATGATCAAGGCGTTGTTTGTAATAAGAACGAACTCAAAACTTGATAACAAATTTTTTATTTTACCAAGGTGATCTACGATAACTGACAGGCAGAGTTGGGTAAACGTTTTATCTAAATAAAAATTTTGAATAACTAATAATAGATAAAAAATTTTTATTCGTTATTCGACCTTCGAAGATTTAGTGGAACAAAAACAACAAGGAAAATTTGTGATACATATGGAGATGTGTTTTTTTTTTTATTTTGAGTCATGTCCGCCAGACTTTTGAAAAAGGGATATTGAACTTTTGCAGAAACATTGGCAACAAGTTATCGATAATGACAGTGATTATATAATCGATTAAAAAATAAAAATGTTATTTAAAAAAAAAATTTTGTCTATGAATGCAAAATAATTGATTACTTCTGGGCACCCATAATATTTATGAACGGGGGAGTGTACATAATTTCGATTTAGAGCGCGTGGGAAACGTTTTCCTTGATGCTGATTTGATACAGTTACGAAAAAAGCAAATATCTAGTATCACTTAACGTCTGTCAGCGATGTCGTTTGGAGTTGATTTGCGTTTGTTTGTCCTTCAAAATACATTCACTTATATTTAACCGAATTACTAATATTGTATCTCACAAAGTTCGGGTAGAAATACAGTGAAAACCGTAAAATCATCGATTTACGCAGGTGACTCGAATAAATTGACCAGCCACTGTATAAAACGCGATGAAGCCTCTCTAGCCTGTGTCTTCGAATATCCGTGTCCAGGAAGCGGTCGCGATAAATTAACCGAGTTCTGCGCGTTGTTCTTGAAACCGTTAAACGGGAATCACGATCGTAAATTATCGGGAATCGTTGTCCCCCAACAACGGTGGACCCGTCGCTCGATAATATTCGAATTTGAAATTGACGGGGAGCCAATTCGTTACATCAGTGCCAGACGAAATTTTCCGGGTGCGTTCGTTGTTTGCCGTCGTGTGTGGACATCGAGTCGTCGCACGTGTTCATTGAAGTTTACGTTGTTCCGGAATATAGTTTATTTTTTGCTATTCTTGTTTGGTAGTAAAGGATCGATGTTGATTCGAATGTGCAGGTTCCAAATGTTTCTTGGAACTTTTCCTCTGTAGCCCTTTGTTGTCCGTCATTTTGAATAAATATTGTGTTTAGGTCGTAGTTTCGTTGGAATCACTTTCTTTCGATTATAGTTATTAATTTCAGTGGCATTGTAGCTGTTTATGTTCATAATAATTCACATAAAAATTCGTCTTCGAAGGTTTATAAATTGTTGTTCTTCATTAGCCGTCATCTTGAATGAACAATGTATGAATTCACGTCGCAATTTGACTGGAAATTATTTTACCTTCGCTAGATTTTTCTTCTTTTTCTCGAGAATGTTTTAGTTGCTCATGAATGTTGAAGAAATTTCATCCATAGGTCGAGACACGTCGAAAAATTTATTGTTAATACCTTCTTTTCCTTAATCTTAAACCTCCAGCCAAAGGAATTATTATTTTACACGATCCTCGCGTATTCTTCTTGTAATTCCGTTTTCTCCAGGGATGAACGTAAATTGAATGGAAAAAGGTAGCTTACAGTGGCTCATTTATTGCAGCCAGGCGAACTGCGGTAATAATTGCGAACGAGAACGTGAAACAACGCGGAAAGTTCGCGGTATCGTTTATCATCCAAGTAATAATGAGCGAAGGCATTGCCGAAGCGATAGTGGATTAAACATCAATTACAACTTAATCATTATTTATGGTAGAAATGTGGGCTCGGGACAGGTTCTTTATTCTTCCTTGTAATTACCGATCTTGCTTATTCAAAAAGTTGATTCTGTTATTTTGAACATCTTGTGACGAGTAAAGTAATAAATGCAATCGCAAATTCAGAAGTACGTCATTCATATATCGTTTGGAATTGAGCGATACCATATCATAAAACATCATTAAAATTTTAAATATATTTTTTCGTACAAAATATAACCTTATAAATCGATTATTAAATCGAAAAGTAATATTTAGTGTTCTTTAATGTTAACCTTAAAAAAATATTTAGTATTTATAAACAGAGTATTTTGAGAGTAAGACATCGAGAGAACATTAAATAAAAATTCACAGTAAGTTAGTAATTAGAACGACTTTTTGAAATCCCTTGGTGACGCAATCAAGTCGTCAAAAATGACTCGTAAAGCGTTAACATGTTCTAAACAATATTTATGTCAGACCCTCAGCAATTTCGTAATGCCTCGTAATATTCACATCATATTCGATAAGTGTCCTGATACGTATGAGCAAGAGTGTATGGTATCGTGTTACTAACCTGTTGCGTAGTAATTAATATTATACGCGTAATGCAGATTGGATCGTCGTAACGAGGGAAAGTTCTCAGTGGGTATTGTGTTTCAGGGAAAGTGCACCTGGGCGGGGACCAGCGGCCGACGCGTCACCCTGCAGGACACTCCGTTGAGATCGCTGTCAGAAATCGAGAGGAAGGTCCTTTGCAAGGTGGCCGTCGCGAAACTTCAGGCCTTGAATCTGGGTGTTCACATCAGGCCACCTAGTGGTAAGTTCTTTAAGTGTTTCATTTCTGTCCATTTAATTTAGAACAATTTTATATAATAATTTATAATAACCTCTATGGAAAAAGAAAATCGATCGATTGGGCGCCGAACCGGAAATTAGTTTTTTCGATTGCTTCGACCACTCACAATGAACGAAAATTTTCAATATGGCCGTCGTCTTCTCCTGGTCATCGTGCGAAACATCAATCTCTAGATTTATCTCAGTGAAAATAATCATTGCGTCTATGATTCTGCGTTTATGCTATTTTTATTACTAGATAGTATTCTCTTGTTATTGAATCCAGATTTCACGTGGCAGAAGTATTATTATATTAATTTACTATATACAGGGTGTGACAAAAGTTTTGTAGGTCCCTGAAATGGGTCACTCGTAAGGTGATTTGGAACATGTTTTTCCTTAGCAAAAATATTACCCGAGGCTTTCTTAATAAAATATCGACGAAAAACCTCGACCAATCAGAACGCAAATCTACCGGCCGAGCTCCGATTGGTCGTGGGTTTTTCGTTAATATCTCGTTAACAAAGCCTAGGATAATAGTTTTGCTAAGGAAAAACTTGCTCCAAATCACCTTACGAATAACAACACTTTTGTTATACTCTGTATACTGACAATAACTATCAAACAGACTAGATCTGTCATAGTAGTCGTGAACAACGTTGTAATTATCAGAAAACTACGCGGAAGTAATTCACCCGTGACACCCGAACCGTCCGTTTAAGCGCCACCCTGTAGATTTCGCAGTACCAACGAGTGTAAACGTTAGATTTTGTTTTTTCGTCGCGGTGTATTGCGGTTCGTCGCCGTTTCGTTATTCAACAATCAAGGTAGAGATCAGGTTTCATCGAGTTCCATTTTCTACGGGTGCGTTTCTGCGTTCCTTTGTTCCACTTCCGTAACCGAAGCGGAAGTCGAATCAACGAAACCGCAACAGAGAAATGGGGAGCATAAGGATTTCTTATTGCGAACGATCGCGGTCTGTATCGAAAGTTCATCGACGGATTCAACGAATCCGTCAGTGGTTCGAGCGTCTCTTGCGACCTAAATGGAAGCAACCGTGCAGAATGTGTATTCGTTTACATTTCACGACGTTTTTCCGTCCGCAGAATCCCTCGCTGGTACCGCCATTACCACGAAACCGAAGAGGAGGGCGCCTTTGCTGAAGAGGAAAGCTCTCACGACTGGTTTCTTCGACAACAAGGGGAAAGACGACAAAGAGAAGGGTAAGTGTCAGATTTAGATGTTTGATTAGTCTTTTTAAAGTTTAAAACAAGTTATCGAAGCCGTGTATATAATTTAACCGAGGAGAAGGAGAGTTTTAAATGATAGGTTTTGGAAGCTTTTGGGGATTTTGTAAATTTTTGAAAGTTTTGGAATTTTTTAGGGTCTTTGAACATCTTGGGAATCATGAATCCCTTTGAGAGTCTTGAGGATTCGTAAACTTTTTGAAAGTCTTGAGGATTCTTGAAATTTTTGAAAGTCTTGAGGATTCTTGAAATGTTTGAAAGTCTTGAGGATTCTTGAAATTTTCAATTGCCTGGAATGCTTAACATTTTTGGAAGTCTTGGGAACTTTAACAGTCTTTGAAAGTTCTGGGAATCTTTAAAATTTTCGAAAGTATTTAAAGTCTTGAGAATTCTTAAAATTTTCAGAAGTCTTTGAGTCTTTGAAAGTCTCAGGAATCGTTAAAGTTTCCGAAAGTTTTTGAAAGTCTTAGGAATTCTTAAAGTTTCTGAAAGTCTGAAAGTTTTAGGAACCCTTAAAGTTTTCGAAAGTCTTATTAATCCTTAAAGTTTTCGAAAGTCTTATTAATCCTTAAATTTTTCGAAAATCTTTGTAATCCTTAAAGTTCTCGAAGGTCTTTGCAAATGTTGAAAGCCTCGAGCATCTTGTAAGTCTTTAAAATTCTTGGGAATCCTACGAGTTCCGAAATTCTTTGTAAATTTTAAAAATCTTGAAAATCTCGAAAAAGTATTATACTATAGTACTTATATTGACAGTAATTCGAACTGACTGGTAGTTGGTCATTGATTCGAGTATTTCTCCAAGCCGCCTAAGATTTCCTAAACAACAACAAGAAATTCGACCATTCGTCGAGATATTTCAATCGTTTTTCGTAGTTCCCTGCCCCGAATTTCGATCGATGGCACCGCAATAGAAATTCATCCGATAGAGTCAACAATTAAATGCGGTGAATTAAGTGCGCAGTTTAATGCACGGAAAGCGGCACAGTTAACGATCGAGAATTTATGGTCCGATTATTTGTTTGGAGAATAACTAGTCCAGCTATTTTCAGGTGCGACTCTGTTTTCCCGAAGTTTGCTAGGAGTACTCGATCATTTTATGCGTTTACGACATCCCCGCGTGCACGTATTTCGATCTAGTCGGATCCGTAGGAAAGACAAATATTATCGTTGGGACAAATTCCCGGTGTTGTTCGGCTTCTCTGTTCCGCGGTTCGAATTCCATGGCCGATAATTACGTAAATCGGGAGGAAAAGACTTCCTATTTCTCGCAGCCCGGTCGATCCTTTTGTTACGCAACAGGAACAATTTTTTTTTCCATTCAAGGTAATTTTATTTTCCATCTTAAAATGAACATCTTTATTAACAAGGCGATTAATTGTCAACTAATATTACAAAATTTACACACGTATTTTACGTTTGAAAATTAAAAGAACTAATATATAATACAAATATAGGTTAATAATTATATCATACGTCCCTTATTTTTATAGGCGTTTATAAACAGAGTGATTATAGATTAAATAATTGACTTGTTTGAAAATGGCCAATGCGTTTTGTGACATGTGGGGCATTAATGGACCACGTTAAACTATCCGTTCTGACTATTCACAATTTTCTCTATTTACAATATTGTACTATAATTCAGCTGTAGTCTATTCATAATTCAGGATTCAGCTATAAAGGAACCATAATAAAATTACAGTCCCACTTTCGCCCAATTACAGTTCTAACTACAGTACAACCACTGCCCAACTATGTATGGTTTAACTGCAGTCCAATGCAGCTACAGTCACAAATAATACCAGTTCAATTAATATCATTTCATAAGTAATGTCGTTTCTTGGTGCAAACTTTTCTAGCAAAATATTAATATTTATAATTTATTTTTAATCATTTTAAACTTCAACGTCACTTAGATCACTGATATCCCACCACACGTACAGTAACATGTAGGGTGAAATAAGGAATCCAAAAAATTACCTAAAAAAAGGGAAACGATCATAGAAAGCAATGGTCAATATATCGATATTTAAAACTAAATCGAAGTATTAATACTCTGCCCTAAAATTCAGTGATCTGACATTCAACGTCTGATCTGATTTTTTTGAAAATTCAATGCCTCAGGACCAATTAATAGATATACCAATAAATAATCCACTATTATTCGTCGAATTTGATATTCCTTCTCCACGAAATCAAAAGCCTATTCAAGTCCACTGATAGACATCCTAGTTCTCGTTCCTTATCATATTCTGTAATTCCTTTAATAAAAAGAGCTGGAATACGTTCTGAATTCAAACATCATCAAGGAAATTATTTTAAAACATAAAAGGTCAGGTACCTACCAATGACGGGAATAAATTATAAAATATAAAATGTCAGGTACCTACCAACGAAGGAAATAAATTTAAAATATAACATGTCACAGAATTATGTAAAATTTAACAGAATTTAAAAAATGGATTCATTCACTATGACCCATCAATCCCTCTCCTATTTCTTTCACCGGGTCCAATCAAATGGATTAACTTTCCAACGAACAGCTGACAAACTCGCAACCGTAACATCCACCTCCGTTACCTCTTCCATCATCGCAGGTCCCCGCGGAAGAAGAATCGCTCCCGCGACGGGCCGCGATTCGTCTTCTCCCTTGGGAATAGAAAGTAAAAAAAAAAAAAAAACGGTTAGTCGGCCATGTGCAAGTAGCAAGACGGGGCGGGTAACGAACGTCGGTCGCGGCCTGGTATGAGACACAATTTCGCCCGGTTAAAATTAGCCACGGGGTGCTTGGTGGCGATGCATATTTCCGCGTGTGCCGGGTTTATTTGCGGTGTACGACGGGCACCGGGTATGGTACCCACCAGGGACCACCGGACGTCCATCGTGATCCGGAACGGTCTACCTGCCATTCGGACACCCCATTTTTTCATATTTTTCTGCGACATTTTCTTTCAGTTTTCCATCCCTCGACTGCTGGTGGTATTATTTTTTAATCACATCGAGGTGGTCATATCTGTTATAAAAATTTCATTTCATGGGATTAGATTGCTTCTTATACGAGGTGGAATTGTATTTAATTCATCGAGGTGGTGAATTCCAGTACAGAAATTTCACTTCATGGTACTAGATTGTTACTTATAAGAAGAGTCATTGTATTTAATTTATCGAGGTGGTGAATTCCAGTACAAAAATTTCACTTCATGGGATTAGATTGTTGGATACTTATCAGAGGTGGTGTTTCATTTTTTGTATCTACATAGTAAAGCAAACTTGCGATAGCTGCCTGCTGGATAAATATCTGTTAGGAATGCGAAGTAAACACATCGAAATACAGTAAATTTTCGACGAGTGTTCGCTGGGTCCTCTGCATTCAACATTTAATAAACAGATACTCATTGGCTTCAGAATTCTAAGCTCTATCACTGTGCTAAAGCTCATTAAAAAGTCAAAGTTACATTTGGAGACTTCTCTTTGTCAGTGTCGAGGAGCCTTCGAACATTCATCGATGATTTAATGTATTCTGTTATGCGTAGGTAACTTCAACTAAGACTCCGTGACTTTTATTTCAAAGAAATTGCAAATTTAACTATTTATCTCTTTGCCAGTGTCTGGGTTAGGTTAACTCTTCGGACACTCATCGAGGATTTACTGTAGACTGAGTGAAAACTTACGATTTTTGCACAGTATTTGTAGTGTTCGAATCATTCCCATCCAGGTTCGAGTGTATTTAAAAGTATTGTTTTTCCCTGAAGTATGTATTCATGAGATGTTTGAAACTGTAGTTAGATTCGATACTATTTACAATATGTACGTACTTGATCCCATCACTGTTGGTAAGCTGTTCCTGAAGGCAGCTTCCAAGGCCCTATTACAGATTATACCTACATGAGATTTTCTCGCCATTTAGTATTGCCAGCTCGAAATGAAAAAAATTGTATGAAATAAAATTATCCACTAGAAACGAAAAAATTCGTATGAAATAAAATTACCTGCTTGAAATTAAACAATTCGTATAGAATGAAGCTACCTTCTTGAAATAACAATAATTTAAAATTAAAAGAAACTAGTATGAAATAAAATTACTTGTTTGAAATGACAAAATTAGTACGAAACAAAATGAAGGGGTGAAGTACCGCCATGTTTGCGAGACCCCGACTCCGTTACGCTGAAATCGCGACCTGATTCGGTTGCTCTTCGCCCGTGACCGCGTGGAATTCCTTTGAAACGTTCCACGGCACGCGAACGGCAGCGAGTTGGCTTTGTTTCGTCGTAAATCAGCCTGTTTTTGGTCCTGTCCCGTTTACAACGGACTGTAAAGCTGGATGAACGGGATTGATCGCGACTGAGGTGCACGCGTAAATTTTACGCCAGCTTCTGGCGGGGAGTTCTGCGGGTTTCAGTGTGCACGGGGTTGTCTTGCAACGATTGGTGGTGCTACCGATGAGGTCGATTCTGTATGATAAAATAAATGAAAAACATTTAAAAAGTAGACAGTGGATTTTGTACATTAATATTATATTGTTGCATAATACATGTCCTTTTTAAGGTACAGAGTTTTAGCGATTATAATCGTTCTTGAGACGATGAGTTTTATTTAAAAAAAGTCCATATAAATCGACATATTACAAGTTACAAGCTTCTTGACCTCGTGTTTAATGATTTTACGACGACTGAAATGAAACGTGTTGGAAAATGAAATTTATTGTGCAACAACTAAAAACAAACGTGAAGGTATAAAATTTAATTTATATTATTTTAATTATATTTTATTAATTTAAATAGATATAAAATTCAGTATATTCAAATGGTTAAGAAACTTTAGTAGGATTTTTATTTTATTTGGAATTTAATAGAACCGTTAATACGGCAAGAAAATTTCTGTTTGTCTCTAGTTTCTGTAAATAAATCCTTGAAGATCGATAGTAGCATAAACATCCGTAGTCTAGTAATAACATTTATATAGTACACCGATACCGGTCTAGGTGACGTTCAAAATTGGTTGCGTACTCGTGTTCTGGAATTCACTTGGCTGATGTGTCTCTGTCTATTACCGGTTTATTTCTACTTATGATGATTAACCTGTCCACCGGCGAAGACGTGTTAACTCGTCACTAATGTTGAGCAACAGCGCCCGTTGCGAAAGAATGGATATTTTCATTTTTGTTTCTCATTACTACTCTAAGCATAGCTTCTGATATTTTTTTCGTTTTTCTCTTGTTATAGTACCGGATTATCTATCGTTGGTTTCATTATTTTGTTTGCATAAAATATAATACTAAGACATATTCGTACCTGCTTTTATAGATATTTGATTATAGATATAGATTTTATAAATACCTTGAAAAATGTGCCGTTTAACAAATTATAGGTATTACTTGTTACATTGTATCATTTATATTCTTGAATAATTCCATATAAATTGATAGATGAGGAAATATATGGTCGATGAACTGCATACGATAATAACCTAAACTTCTAAGTAGAAATAGCGAAAAATGACCAGGCACACTATTATCCGTAAATCCGTCTTAAGTTTGGTGAACGAATTTTTAGTGTTACTCCACATTCCTGTACATTTTTTCATAAATACCTAGCCTCCTGCTGGTCACAATCGTGGTTAGAGGACGTCTTGTAAACATTTGAAATTAATCTGTGATGATAAGAGATATCTTTGTTAACCTAATTTTATGTAAACAAATAGAATTTCTGTTAGAAAAAGATTTTTATGTACCGGATGAGTAAAATTAAATGTTGAACGATAGCATATGATAGCAAATCACGGTAGAATACGTTCTAACGATCAAGATTCATTTATCTCGTACATGTGTCAACTAAACAAACGAAAATCTCGACTGCAGAATGTTTCCCAGGAACGTCACGATAATTTATGTTTTACGCGCG